TTGATTCTCCAGCCAACCTCATTGCAGCTAGAGGCATTTTCTACGGGATGGCCAAAGATGCTGGACTTGCCTAAAACACATTCCTGAGATTTCCTCCTGGCCTTTCCTGGGTTTCATCAGGAAGGAAAACGATACCGAACGTGCCCACGGGATGGACTGATGGCAAACAGTGGGGGCATTTGTTAGATTTTGCCCCTGTAAAGTGCCTCACAGGATACCCTTATCTCAAATGGTTGAGAGAAGGAAATGAGCCTCCAAAGGTGAATGATATGCCTGAGGTCACAGCTGGTTTGAGGCAGACCCTAGACTAGTCCCTTGTCAACTGAATCCCAGTCTAGTGGTATTTCCACATTGCACTGTTTTCAAACAATCATTTCATGAAATGACCTCCTTCCTTCCTTGGATTTTTCATACTTTCTCAAGCTTTTTTGGTTTTTTAAATAAAAAGCTTTTTCCTCCTGGAACAGTCTGCTGGGTTAGGCCATCCCTAGGAACAGAGTCCTGTACTCTGGGGTGCTACCTGAATCCATTAAAAATGGAGCACTGGGCAGCGCCTGTGGCTCAAAAGGGTAGGGCACTGGCCCCATATGCCGGAGGTGGTGGGTTCAAACACAGACCCGGCCAAAAAAAAGGAAAAAAAAAAAATGGAGCACTGATGAAATAAACTATGTGGTCAACAGTATGTACATCTCACTGTGGACTTTTTCTGCCTGTGCACAAGGCTGGGAGATTAGGACCTTTGTAGGAGGATGAGAAAGGGGAAGAGGACTTTATCTACATCGACATGGCTGTGGTTATCTGAACTTCAGACCTAAGAGCTTTTGGCTGAAAATACCATCTTGACAGCCAAAATTCAGCAGGTCATTTCCAGTAGCTACGGCCCTGATGTGCACATACTGTGAAAAGGTAAGAAATAAAGGCCCTGAAATCTGACCTGAGGCCTCTGGGGAAAGCTGCAGTGAACACCTCCAGTTCAATGTCATCCCTCATCCCTTTAAGCCTGTTTCTCTAGGGACTGAGAAGTGTGTGGTGCTTTTATTTCTCAGCTCCTCTAAAAGTCTGATCCAGACAGTTCCCATAGCCAGTGAGGCCTCCAACTCATTCATTTTCCTCAGTCTCTCGCTGAAGTTGATTGAATGTGTGGGCAGAGAAACCCAGGAGCTATCCCTCTCTGCCTTACAGCCCCATGCTGGCGAACAGGGTATGAAGGGGTGCATGGTTTGCTTTTTTGAGCAGGCCGAGAGTGGTTTTCTGCAGGTCTGGGTCTACCTGACACAGGCCTTGTGTTTGGAATGGATGTTTTCTCTTTGTTACTTTACTAAGTGTTCTGGTCTCCTTGGTCTCACTCCTCCTTCCTATACCTTTACTCCTGGTTATGTGAGTGGTTGTAGGTGACTATTATTTTTTTCCCACCCTAAATGGTTTGCAGTAGATATGGAGATGGCTCCCTTGATCAGGTTTTTCTATATGCCCTGGGTCAGCTTGTGCTGCAGGGCCATTTGTTTAAGGTTAATCACATTTTTTTTTTTGGGCAGGCTGTTTCTACCCAGGATGTTTATGTGTATATGGAAGATGACTTTCTTTCTATCCTTGTGATAAAGCAAGTAAGAAAGCACGAATGCCCAAATTATTCTGCCTCTCCTTGGTGCTAAGAAAAGGTCTCTGCTATGCGCTCTGATTTATTAGGCCAATTTGGCATGACATCTGCTTTGTGAGGCGCTAGCTGGCCTGAACCAACAGAAAAGCAGATTCATTCAGCATCATTCTCAGTTAAAGATCTGAAGGTATAAGGCTGTATTTCCTCTCTTGTCGCGGGAGTTTGCTTCTGAGCTCAT